TATAAAATCAATAAATTAAATGAAAATTTTAAAGTTACAAAATTGCCCAGCCAGCATGGCTCAGAGGTTGAGGGTCAACCTATGAACCAGCGGGGGTCAGGGTTTGATTCCCAGTCAGGGCACATGCCCAGGTTGCAGGCTTGATCGCCAGTAGGGGGCGTGCAGGAGGCAGCTGATCTATGATTCTCTCTCATCACTGATGTTTCTCTCTCTCTCTCTCTCTCTCTCTCTCTCCCCCACCCTCTCTGAAATCAATAAAAATGTGTATTTTTAAAAGTTATGAAATTGTACATTTTAAACGTGCAGTTTATTATATGTCGGTTACACCTCAATAGAGGTGTGGGGATGAAGAAAGGGAAAAGCCCAGGATGATGGCTAATGAGCTCTTTTAATGTGGTTGGGCAAGACAGATGCTGAAAGGAAAATTACAGCAGAATGTGGTAAGTGCTACAGAGGCGGTGGGTAAACTGTGCTCTGAGGGCTCAGAGAACAAAGGTGCCTCTTCCTGTTGGGCCCCCTAGTTCCAGTTAAAAAGACTTACTAGAGCTTTTTAAGGTACCTTTATTGAACACCTACTATGTGTTGTGCTCTTCAGTTAAGTAACTAGAAAAAAACAAGCCACCTATTTGCCAGCCCAAACTGGAAGGGTGGAGGTTTGTGGAAGAAGCCAATCAGGCTCTTTGAAGCAGCCTTTTCAAAGCTTTGGCTGGTCTTTGTGTAACTAAGGGAGCAAGGATTACAAGGTGTATGACTCAGAAACGGACCCTCCTTTCTTATTCCTGGCAAGCCTTTGTAGGGCAGGCACTGACACCGCTCTGCCTAATAGTGCGCAGGCCTAACTCCGCTGTTGCTGGGCAGCCTAGTAAATCCTAGGGCAGTGTCTCTTCTTTTGGGGTTTTGATTAGGTTTTCTCAATGTGAAATCCCAAAACACCTGCATCTCTGCATCATAATCATTTAGTGCTTTTTAAATAAATAAATTATATATATAATTTCAGAGAGGAAGGGAGAGGGAGAGAGAGATAGAAACATCAATGGTGAGAAAGAATCATTGATTGGCTGCCTCCTGCAGGCCCCCTACTGGGGACCGACCCCCACAACCCAGACATGTGCCCTTGACTGGAAATGAACCCGGGACCCTTCAGTCCGAAGGCTGATGCTGATTCCATTACCGGTCAGGGCACATGCCTGGGCTGTGGGCTCGATCCCTAGTGTGAGGCTTGCAGGAGGCAGATGATCAATGATTGTCTCTCATCATTGATGTTTCTATCTCTCTCTCCCTCTCTGAAATCAATAGAAACATATTTTTTAAAAAAACAACACAGTAAAGTAATGGAGTGATGCCAACACACATGAACATTCGCAGCTTTGGGGGTTGAGATTTCATTTTATTCTTCAAGGTGTGTGTGTGTGTGTGTGTGTGTGTGTGTGTGTGTTCCAAAGCTTGCTTACTTTCCAAAGAGGCACTCAGAAGAATAGTACCTCCTTTGCCTCAGGAGACTGGAAGGAGTCTGGACTTGGGGTGCCAGCGTCCCCTAGACAGTTCTGCTGGATGGGCTGTGTGCCAATGCTCACCGGGACACATGCACTTTGGCATCTTATCCCTGCTCCCCCCTGCACACACTCATCTCTTGCGGACTGTCATATTTGGGAAAGTACACTTGTGGGGACAGCTGAGGGACCAGAGGGCGGAAGGACCTGGGCTTCCCTCAGAGGAGCGGAGGTTTGGAGGAGGAGTCCCTTGGGAGGGAAGCAGACCTAAGAATATGCTAAGCTCCAGTTCATCCATGAAAGGACCTGACCCCTTAATAAAGATTGAACTTCTTAGCTGTTTTACACGTGGATATAGAGAAAGTTAAAAACCAAAGTTTTAATGTTTTCTCTTAGTCATAGAATTTGTTTTACTTTTCCTCCAACCCTTCGGCCAAGTATAACCTTATGAAGTCACTAAAGACCCGATGCAGATTCGTGCAAGGGGCTCGGCCTCGCAGCCCCAGCTTCATCCGGAAGGTCGTCCAGACGGTCATTCTGCTGTTTGGTCTGATTAGCATATTAGCTCTTTATTATATAGGATGTTAGGGAGAATTCACAGCTGTGCCCCATTGAGAATATAGATGTATTTCATTCAGAGGAACCAGGAATTCTAGGCTGGGGCTAGTAGCCAAGTGAGTGGCCCAGGACAGAATGAAACAGTCAAGCAGAAGACCTCCTAGGTCCTAGGGGATAGGCCTGAAAGGAACCTTGTTTCCCATTCCACGTCCCTAAATATACTAGAGAGAGGTAACCCATAAATGGAGGAAAATGTGGACACTTGGGTTTCATATACATTATCTCAGCCAACACTTAAAAAACCCGCGGCGTGTTAGTCCCGTTTTATAAATGGGAAACTGTGGCTTAAAGAGGCTAATGTGCCCTCGTTACACAGCTAGTAAGTGGCCCCGGCCAGGTGGGAACCTAGTCTCTGGATCTGACTGGATTATAGTCTCCTGCTTGTTCCAGTGGCAGTGGTGGCTGGCAGACATGGCAGTTCACAGCCTGCCTATGCACGAGGGACATTTGTTACTCTCTAGTCCAGGGGTGGGCAAACTTTTTGACTCGAGGGCCACAATGGGTTAAGCTGGACCGGAGGGCCGGAACAAAAGCATGGATGGAGTGTTTGTGTGAACTAATATAAATTCAAAGTAAACATCCTATCTAATAAAAGAGAAAGATGGTAATTGGTGTACGACCGCTACCCTTCCCATTGGCTAATCAGGGCAATATGCAAATTAACTGCCAGCCAAGATGGCCGCCGGCAGTCAGGCAGCTTGAAACTAACATGACGCTTGCTTGCTTCAGTGATGGAGGAAACCAATGTTCCCCGACTGCCGCTGTAGGCCTCTGAGCTGCAAATCCATGCAACTATGTAACAAACATAGAAGCTAAACAAAGCCCCAGAAACCTGCCCACTTCAGCCACCGGGATCACATTGTAGAGGAATTATCTCTACTTTTGTCTCCCTGTCCTTTTCAAGAAACAAACAAAAAGAAAACAATACAAGTCTACTTTAACACTTTGGGAAAGTTGTTTAAAATGAGAGTTCCATAACCTTTTTTGACTCCCTACAATAGAGATACTTTGAACCACACACTTGCCATGGAGTTAATGAGTCTCTTCCTCATGCACACGAACTTGCCACTACATTGTACGCAGGGTGGGAGGGGCCTGTGAGCTTGGGAAAATGATTAAACCTCTTGTTGGCGTATATATAACTCTGACAGGTGGGAGGTATTGCTGATGCAGCTTGTAAAGAAAGAATGGAATATTTCAATTGAACAAAAACTTTGCCCGGATTCTTGAAAGAACAAAATGCCTTTCCACTCTTCTCAAAATAATAAGAGCTAGCCATGGCAACTTTGCAATACTGGCCCGGAGTTCTTTGGGAAAATGAGAGCTGAGAAATACTAGTGCTGATAGGATGGTTTGCAGTGGTTCTCAACCTTCCTAATGCCGCGACCCTTTCATACAGTTCCTCATGTTGTAGTGACCCCCAATTTCATTGTTACAAATTGAACATAATTAAAGCATAGCGATTAATCACAAAAACAATATGTAATTAATGGTCTTAGGCAAACCCTGTGAAAGGGTCGTCCCACCCCAAGAGGGGTCGCGACCCACAGGTTGAGAACCACTGACATAAAGAGTGGTAGGAAACACAGAAGTGAGTTAAGTCCTAACCTAACCTGTGCTGTCGAGGAATTGACAGTCTGGGGGGCAGGACTACGGGGACTACAGACCAAACAAAACCCCCAGGAGCTATAATATTCTACAACCCTCCTTGGTGGGGGAGCCCGCAGGACCTGGGCCCCCGCCCCCAGTGGAATGAGGCTCTGCCCCGAAGTTTCGGCGCTGGCTGGACTATGTCCGAGTTCCCTCTCCTGTTTCCCAGCGGGATCCCGCCTGGGGCTTGGGAATGGACGTGAACTTGACTTCCAACCTTGCGAAGGGCAGATGACTAACCCACGGAAGGAAAGGCGGCGGCTGGGAGTCGCCGCCCCCATCCCAGGCTTCAGGGAATGTGGCTTCGGGTCCCGGTCCGGACCCCGGGCTCCCGCTCCACGCTCGCACCTTCCAAAAGCAAACGTTACTGTAGTCTATAGAACTTCGTATTATTTGATGCTATCACGCCTACATTGCTTCTGTAGTTCACGAAAATAATAAAGCTATAAAAAAGGAAAAACAAAATCAATGGTTCACGGAAAACATTGTGAAATGCTTCTATCTTGGGGATGGTGGGTTTTACCACCCAGAGGACTTAGGAAGACAGAATATAAAGAACATGAAATGCCAAAGAAAATTTAGGTTCTGGTCCTGGTCTGTTCCTCACCAGCTGGTTGGCCTTAGACAAATCATTTACCTCTCTGACCCTCAGTTTTCTCATCCTGAAACTTATTCCTACCTCACGGACTTGTGAAGGTCAAATAGGAAGATAAATACGTCTTCAACTGTAGAATGCAACCTCTGTCCTAGTTAATATAAGCATTGACACTGTCATATTTGCTGAAGCTGCCCTTTGTTGCAAGGAAGGGGACCCCCTGGTGGCTTCCGGGGCACACTCCCTGTGGAAGCAGGAGTCAGGGGCCTTTAGCCACGTTAAATGGTTGGCGGTTGGTTCTGCCAATTTATTTCCTACTCCAAGCTTTCTTCCCCTTTTATCTACACATCTGCGTGTCAGGAATAAATTTTTCCTCGCTACAATGTCATTTTTTGATGGAAACTTCCAGACCAACTCAGATAGGAGGAAGGAGGGGGAAGGACAAAAGCCCACATTTCTTCAGCGTTTCAATCAACAACCTCATTTTCTTCTAACAGTTGAAGTGAACTTCTTATGAATAATGGATGATAGCCTGATGAATATGCACACAGCCTATTATGCCTGTGAGGTTTGGTAAATAATTTATGAGCTAAAATGTTCCTCACCTTGTTACTGCACAAAAGTTATGAAAAGAAAACCGTATTTACCCTTTGAGCTGGTAGGGTGATCTGTCAGAGTGACAGCAGCCCAGCATATACCTTTACATCATGGCTAAAATTAAAATAAATACAATACATGCATTTCAGGGTGGGAGGTCTGTAAAAAGAGGAACATGCACAGCCACACTCCCTGCCACGTACAAGTTTTCAAAAAACTCTGGCTTCTCATCACGAAATATCCCTGGATTGTTAACAGCACTCAGGGGCCTCCTTCACGGTCCATTCTCCTCACAAGGACTTTGATATGACCAGTCAAGATGGACTACAGCTTCCTTGTTTTATCAACACTGACTAACCACAACCAGCCATAACATTATAAAATTTAAGCCACCAGATTTTTTTATTTTTATTTTTTGTAATTCTAAAAGCTTTCAGAGCCAACAAGCAGATAACACACACAACAACAAAAACTGGCCGGAGAGGCGCTTGGAAATGTATTGCTCTCCTTCCTCTCCTCACAGCGGAGAGTTTTTTCCTACTGACCAGCCTGACTCCCTGCCGTACCATCCTTCAGCTCACTCCCACCTGCCCCAGCCTCAGTCCCTTAGCAACCGCAGCGATGCCTCTAGTCTGGTGACTGGAGCGGAGGAGGGGCACGATTAACTGTGGAGATAAGGAAGGTGTTTGGGAAAATATGCACAGAGCCTGGGGAAATGTGGGGGCTCCACAACAGGTTTTGAAGATCTGGGACTGGGTCAGTTCTCCAGCCAGGGAAGTAAGGACCCCCGGGGTTATCTGCTTACATTCCTAGAGATTTCTAGGAATAAAATATGTGCCAAGGGACACTCACGGTCAAAAGACCATCCCTGGGTGCTTGGAGATCAGGCAAAAGAGGAAACAGAAGGCTGTCCCACATTTGTGGGATAAACCAATACATTCCTAGGAAACAGAATGAATGGCCTACAAACAAATTACGTAATGAAGTTATTGGAACAATGATGCAATTAAAGTAATAATATTATTACAACAATGTATTATTATTCAAGAAGGCATCTTGGAGGAGGTCAATCTTGATAGAGTTTGCCAAGAGAGAAGGGACCCAATTAAATAGAAAGATTAGGGGGTTATATAGCCAGGCCCGCCTGATCTGGGCCGTGCCTGTCTTCCCAGCCTCCTTTTGCGCCGTCACTCGCTGTGCTCCAGCCACATTGCCAGCCTCTTTTCTTGACAAGAACACCAAGTTCTTTCCTGCCTCATTGTCTCTGTTCCTTCTGCCTCCTGCTTATTCTTTCAAACTTTGCCCTAAATACTCATGACTTCCTCAGAGGTCTTCCCTGCCCCCCAGTGTTAATCTCTCTCACATCACCTTCTTGTCTTCTTAATTATCATGTCTAATGATATATTTATGTGTGTTGTGCGCTTTTTTTGTTTAATGTCTATTTTTCCAGCAAACTATAAATTCCACTGGACACTTAGAAGCCAACCCATTATCTAGCACATGGTAGATAATAAATATCTGTAGGCTCAAAGGAGTGGGAGTCAAGGAGAAAAAGAAATTGTGCTGGGTTGAGGATACTGCTGAAGACTTGCATTTGGCATGAGAAGCAGAGGGAAGCCACCAGTGGGTGACATCGTCTCCCTACACAAATCGTAATGTACACTTTGAGGAATTTTTATCTTATACATGCAACTACCACCCACAATAAGATACAAAGCATTCCCAACACCTGAGAAGATTTGTGGTCATGGAAATATTTATATTTTGACTCTTTTCTGATTATAAAATATATTATTATTCCAAAAAGATTATATTGCAATCATGCAACAACAACAACAGAAAGACTGTATTACAAGTATTGGTGAGGGTGTGGGACAACTAGAACTCTCAGAGGTTACTAGCAAGGACATGAATTGCTTCAAACATTTTGGAAAACTATTTAGCAGTATCTACAAAAGCGAAACATAAGCCCCAAGCCTAGCAATTCCACTCCTCGGCATTTACCCAGGAGAAATAAGTGCATATATCAGGTGTCCCCAAAAAACGTATAAACACTTTGAATAATTACAAAGGCAGTGTTTATTAAAATACATTTTATTTTCAAAATTGAGCTATCTGCTGTTAAAGTGTGTATACATTTTGGGGGGACACCCTGTATTTACCAAAAGACTTGTGAAGAATGTTCATAGCAGTTTTATTCATAAAAGATAAAAACAGGAACAACCCAAATGCCCACTAATAGTAGAATGGATAAATTGGAGCATAATTACACAATGAAATATATAGAGCAATAAAAAAATAACAAGTAATACTGCTGGACCCAACAACATGGATGAATCTGAAAAACATCTGTTGAGTGACAGAAGCCAGACACAGAGTACATACTGTCTGATTCCATTTATATGAAGTTCAAGAACCAGCAAAACTAATTTGTGGTGATTGAGATCAGAATAGTAGTCACTGGTCGTCTATCAGCTCTCAAGAAGCACAAGGGAGCCTTATCAGGTGTTGGAAATGCTTTGTATCTTATTGTGGGTGGTAATTACATGTATAATATAAAAATTCCTCAAGGTGTACATTTATGATTCGTGTACTTTAGTGGGTGTATGTCATGCCCCAATAAAAAATAAAAATAAAAAAGTAATATTCACAGAAATGTATACAATATAAATTAAAGATTTCCGTTTCCCAAACAAAACCACAATTAACATTTTGGTGTGTGCCTCCTTGAACCCCTTCGACCACATCCATTTCTTTCTTCACACAAGCCCTGATATCCATGCTATCCAAGGCATCCGATCTGTGTGTGTGTGCGGCACCAAACCAAGTCACATAGCCTAAAAGTTTCTGCCTTCACGGTGACAACGTTCACTAGCAATACTGGCCACCTTCACATAAAGCAGTGGTTCTCAACCTTCCTAATGCCGCGACCCTTTCATACAGTTCCTCATGTTGTAGTGACCCCCAATTTCATTGTTACAAATTGAACATAATTAAAGCATAGCGATTAATCACAAAAACAATATGTAATTAATGGTCTTAGGCAAACCCTGTGAAAGGGTCGTCCCACCCCAAGAGGGGTCGCGACCCACAGGTTGAGAACCACTGACAGGAAGAGTGGCAGGACACACAGAA